TTGCGAGAGCCGCAGCCCGGAGAGGCCCATGGTGGGCCTGGGGCCAAGGCCACCTCTCCAGGCCCCACGGCTCCCCTTTTCCAGACTTGTACACAGTCTGGCACCCAAGGACATCTTGTATAAACTGAGCTCTCTCCCTTCACAAGCCTCTTCTGCCTCAGTTGCCTCATCTCAGCCAATGTCCATGGCTCCCGCAGGCCACTCAGGCCTCCACCACAGGCTGGCCGGGCTGCCTTTCTCGCCTCTCCCTGATCACTCCTCCTACCTCCATGGGCCCACTCTGATCAAGACACCATCTGGGGTTTCGGTGGCCATGCCGGCCTCCAGCTCTATCGTGGCCTCCTCTCCTCTCCTGTCCTCAGTGCAGAGACCCTGAAAACCTGACTTAGATCACATGCTCCTGCCATGGCTCCCAGCTCAGAGTCCATCAAACACCCCCCGCACAGGCTGCAAAGCCCACACCACCATCCCCCAGCCACCTTTTCATCCTACCCTCCATGGTCCCTCTGCCAGACTCCAGCCCATGACTGTCTCTTGAAATCTCAGAAGATACTCTTGCCCAGAACCTTTGCACATTTTCCCCTCTAACTAGAATACTCTGCCCCAGTCACCTGAGGGCCCTTTTGCCTGCAAGTCAGGTTCCTAGTCAAAAGTCACCTTATCAGAAAGGCCTACCTTGGTCACCACCCCCATCTGTTCTTCCCCTTAGCTGCTCTGTCACCATTCAATTGCTGCCTCCTCCTAGATGCCGCTGCATGAGGACCAGGGTCGTGCACCTCAGTGACTGGAATGGTGCCCGGCACACAGTAGGTGCTCCATCAATATTTGAAGAACCAATAAATGACCCTCTGCAAGTCCCAGTTTCCAAAGGGGACAGTAGCCGCATTTGTGACGATTCACTGAAATACCACCTGAAATGCACTCACAGGTGGGATTGGCAATTGAAAGAAACTGCTAGGGGAGGGAGGGACACACCTCATCAACTGCATAATCAATGTTTATAAACCTAACCCTGAATTATACCCCACATCTGTATAATAAAAGAGAGAGAGATAATGCACTCACACAGTGCCTGCACATACATAGTGAGTCCTGCCCACACAGTCAGCCACATACGGGTGGGTTCCACATCTGCAATTCAACCAACCATGGATCGAAAATATTCAGAAGAAAAAATGACGGAAAACAACAATACAGGGAAAAAAATAATACAGATAAAAACAATACAGTATAACAACTATTCACATAACATTTACATTGTGTTAGGTATTATAAGTAATCTAGAGATGATTTAAAGGATACAAGAGCATGTGTATAGGTTACATAGAAACACCACACCATTTTCTATCAGGGACCTGAGCTGCTGAAGATTTTGGTCTCTACAGCAGTCCTGGAACCAATTCCCACTGGATACCAAGGGGCCACTGCATCAGTAACTACTAAAACATAATAAATATGCCAGGCACAATGGCTCATGCCTGTAATCCCAGCACTTAGGGAGGCCAAGGCGAAAGGATTGTTTGAGCCCAGGAATTCGAGACCAGCCTGGGCAACATAGCAAGACCTTGTCTCTAAAAAAATAAAAAAATTAGCCAGGTGTGGTGGCACACATCTGTAGTCCCAGCTACTCGAGAGGCTAAGGCAGGAGGATCACTTGAGCTCAGGAGTTTGAGGCTGCTATGAGCTATTATAGTAACCTGCACTTCAGCCTGGGTGACAGAGTAAGATCTCGATTCAATAAAAAAATGTAGGCTGGGTTCAGTGGCTCAGTCTGTAATCCCAGCACTTTGGAAGGCCGAGTCGAGTGGATTGCCTGAGCCTGTAGGTTTGAGACCTGCCCGGGGAACTTGGCAAGACCTCATCTCTACAATAAATCAAAAATTAGCCGGGCGTGGTAGCACACGTCTGTAGTTCCGTCTACTTGGAAGGCTGAGACGAAAGAATTGCTGGAGCCCAGTAGGTTGAGGCTGTGGTGGCTGACAGCGTGCCACTGCACTCCATCCTAGGCGACAGAATGAGACTCCAACTCAAAAAAAAAAAAAAATGTAATAAATGTTCAAGTGCTTCCACAGATGAGACCTCTGTTACTGCTCATGGGTAGATTTTTGTCCCCGTGTCACAGAGCTGGGCCTCAGGCTCCCCTATCCTCCCACCCTCACACGTCGTTCCATTCTCTCCCCAGCAGTAACCCACTGAACCCAAACGTGTTTCTGTAACTTTTCTCCTTTGAAATGATTTTGACGAGCTCAATCTCTCTCCCATTAATAACCACAAACTGTTCCAGTGAATAACTTTTTCAAAATGAGACAAATCAAAAACTTAGGATGAAAGAAAGGAAGGAAGAAAAAGAAACCCTTAGGACAGACACACAGACACAAGGGCCTGTCTCCCATCTCAAGCCCTCTGCCATTTGTGAGCCACTGCAAGGCTTCAAACTGAACTGCACAAAAACACGCTGTTGGAAGGGGCTGCAGGAAAGTGCCCGGGGCTGTGCATAAACAAGAGTCCCCAGGACCTGCTGTGCCCTCAGTCAGCCAAGCCCTCAGTGAGGGGAGGCCCACGAGCTCACTGGTCAAGGCCAGACCTGTGGGAGAGCCAGGGGCGGGGGTCACGTCCAGCTGTGGACAGGAAAGGGCACAGTGCACCCCTGTTCCCTAAATTAGGGCCAGATGTCTTCTAGCAGATCTGTGGCCTGTTTAATACCCTGTGCTCACTTCCTGTGGCTGCTATAATGAATCACCACATACTTTGTGGCTTAAAACAACACAGATGTCTTCTCTCACACAGCTCTGGCAGCCAGAAGTTCAAAATCAGTTATCACTGTACCTAAATCAAAGTGCAGGCAGGACCTTGCCCCCTTCAGAGGCTCTGCAGGAGACTCCATTTCTTGCCTCTTCCAGCTTCTGGTGGCTCCAGCCTGTCTCGGCTTGTGGCCTCGCCATTCCAGCCTCTGCCTCCATGGCCACAGGGCCACCTCCTCTGTGTGCGTCAAATCTCTCTTGGCCTCCCTTTCTTATGAGGATCCCTCTGGATAGCCCAGGATAATCTCCCCAGCTCAAGCTCCTTGGCTTCATCACATCTGCAAAGACCCTTTGTGTGTGTCCATATAACCTTTCACAGGTGCCAGGGATCAGGCTGTGGACATCTTTGGGGACCATTTTCCAGCCTCCACACAATCTCTTCACCGGGGATTGTTGATGGATGCAATAGGACAGTCGGCAGCCCAAGATCCGTGGGGAGGGAGGGCTGCATGAGAAGTGGACTCTGGGTTCTTTGAGGAGGGCATGGGAGGGAGAGCGTCGCTGGCTCCTGCTGCATCCTTCACTGGGTACCCTTCTCCGGGTCATACCATTGGTGTGCTGGCTGCATGCAAAGTGTGGTGGGAGGGGAAAGCAAGCAGGCTGGGCAGTGGGAGTGGCCGGCCACCAGGACAGCCCTAGGCACTGCTGCAGCCTTTGCTGGGTAGACCTGTGTCAGGAGGTCAGGGCCCGGCCACATGCTCCGAGACCCGGGCTTCTCAGGAGGAGGGGGTGCCAAGGAGGCCTGTGTTTAGACACACTAAGCTCGCTGGCCTCAGGCCCATCTCTGAACCTCTCTCCCCAAGCCCCCTCCTCTGTTGGCCACTGGTGACTTCATTCTCAGGGCAGGCCCAGTAGTGTCCAGGACAGCAGGGACAGCACATTCTTTGGAATGTGGTCTCTTTGACATGAGCAGGTCCACTTCCGCCCACCACCTCTATCCTCAGATGGAGAAAAGACCCAAGTCATAAAACCAGATGACAAACATGTCCTGTTCTGCCCTAGGATCAAGGGCTCACCTTAAATGAAAACAATCTGGAACAGTGTGTTGCTGACGCGGATCTTGGCCTTATTCTGCAGATTAGCCTCGGGGGTGATCACAGGGCATTCGGAGCTCTGCATCAGCCAGCCTCTGCAATAGCTGGGCCCGGGGACCACCAGCTCCCTCAGCCGTGCCGGAAAAATCCTCAGGAGGTTACATTATTGTGTGGACACATTAAGAGATCAGAATTCTACAAGAGGTGACTTCTAAAAATATTAATTCATTTGAATTGATAAACATTATATTTATCATGTACATGATGTTTTGAATTATATATACATTGTGGAATGGCTAAATCCAACTAATCAACATAAGCATTACCTCTCACACATCATTTTTTGGGGTGAGAACACAAAGTCTTCTCTTGAGATTTTCAAGAACATGGTACTTTGTTATTAACTATAGGAG